ATACTCCTGTTTCTCCTCATCTGGGGCATTATCAGCCGGCACATCAGGACAAGTGTCACAAGGCCTTACTTAGAGGTTTATTTTTTCGCACCCTTAGCACCCTGTGCGGCCTGGTTTTCACCCCAACCAGTCAGCCTTTCACCTTCACACTAAACACACAACTTGATTATACAGAGTCGGAATAGTGTTTTAAGCAATACACCAACAAGCAACGCACACACAAGCATCAAGTAAACAAACAAGGCAACAATGTTTACGGGCTCCACGCCCAACCAACAATTTCACTATCGCTGGAAAATTCGCCAAGGCATGCACACAAACTCGCGGTATCGCTCATTACGCGCGACTGTGCAGCTCAAGGCCTTTTTATAGGCCCGCAGGCAAGTTGCGGTTGACATCCCCAACCTCTAGGACAGAAACCGTCTGGCAGTTTTATAACTGCCCACGTTCTAAGCCTACTTCGCATAACCGTCCGCACAACGGTCCAATGCGCGGAATATCAAAACAAGTGCACCACGTGTCCAATGTAACCGTCTTGTAACCGTCTTGTACACGCGTCGCCCATCTGATTCATTCTGCCATGCACACTTGAAGATTCCCCGCCTAGGCCATGTGGAACCAAATAACAGCGTCCACGTGCAACCCAAATGCATTTGAAACCTTAACCGTTCCCGCCAACAGTTTGAGCGTCGCGCAACCACTCGCGCGCCCAACAAGCCGCATCAGCAACCCGCATAGCTTAGAGTTAATCCTGCCCAACATAGTGCGAAGGCGCCATACCGCCTTGCTACTTTGCCCGCACGTCTTTGCGTGGCCATGCACAACCCGCAAAGACTTGACTGATCCCATGCTCAGTCTACATTGACTCGGCCCTGCAACCTAGCATCCTCGCCAAGCTAGCCCGGAACCTTTTACCCACGTCAATGTACTTGTTCCCTTATCTGACACCGTGCACAAGTGCCCGGTTTCTTGACCCTTGGCGCACATAAGGGAATGTGCCCGGGTCCAGCTCAACTCAGGTCCGTAACAAACTTCCCCCGCCTGAGCTCGTCGACGCCCTCGTCGACTGGGGGTTCACCATCCTTCTTGCCTCGTACTCAACAATCTTATCAGTAAACTGCCATATTTTAGTGTTCCAAATCCATGTAGCGTCCGCCTCGGACTCACCCTTCCACTGGACAAGATAATCTGTCCGCCAGTTCTTCTTACTCTGGCCAAGGGTCCTATGATCCAGAATTTTATCCATCTCTTTCGTGAAATGGTCCCGCACAGTAGGAGGAGCTCGAGTAGAGACATTTCGGCTTGCCTCAATCAAATCAGGATGATACTTTTTCAAATAAGATACATGAAATGTGGGATGTACCTTCAACCGGTCAGGCAGCTTAAGCCGATAGGCCACATTCCCAACTTTGCTCACGATTTCAAAGGGACCCTCGTACTTTGAAATCAGTCCACGATGGACTGCCTTTGCCGAAATCTGTTTCCATACCTTTGGGCTCACTTTCAACAACACTAGATCCCCGACAGCGAATTGCACGTCCCGTCGCCCGCGGTCCGCATATTTCTTCATTCTTCGCTGCGCCTTAGCAAGGCTATCTCGGGCCTCTACCAAGAGTTCGTGCTGCGCCCGGGCATATCGATATGCCGCGGGACATTTCCCACCAGTTCGCTGTACCGCTACATCATGTGGTAGCTGAGGTTTCTGTCCATAAACCAGCTCAAAAGGACTCATACCGGTCGCCGAGGACTTGTGCAAATTATAACAAAACTGGGCCATATCCAACAATTCCACCCAATTATCCTGGCTTGCGGTCACATAGTGTCTTAGATATTCTTCAAGCAACTGATTCATCCGTTCAGTTTGGCCATCAGTTTGAGGATGATAGGCCGTGGAAAACTTCAGTTCGGTCCCCATCAAATTGAACATGGTCGTCCAGAATCGTCCCGTGAAGCACGGGTCACGATCACTCACTATGTCATCGGGCATACCGAAATATTTCACCACATGCTTGAAAACTAACTCAGCAGCAAGGTCTGCCGAGCATGCACCTGGAGCAGCAATAAATATCCTATACTTTGAAAATCGATCAACAATGACCAACACTGAGGCCATACCTTTCACCTTTGGAAACCCGCCAATGAAATCCAAAGATAGTGACTGAAAAGGCTTGTCCGGAATAGGCAAGGGTTGCAACAGGCCCGCCTCTTTCTTCTTTTCGGTCTTGTCTTGCTGGCAAACAAGGCACGTCCGGACATAGGACTCAACATCATCAAGCATTTTCGGCCAATAAAACTTTTGCATCATCAAAGCGTACATACGCTCAACACCGGGATGGCCAGCCCACTGAGAATCGTGATAATCTTTCAGCAGCTCGCGCCTCATTCCTCCCGATGGGATATACATCCTTTGACCTTTGGCATAGAGTAAGCCGTCCTCTAGCCAGTACTTGCGCACTTCACCGGCTGCCACTTCCTCGGCAAGTTTTACATAGACAGGATCTTTAAGGGATTCACCACGAACTTTTTCAACAAAGTCGGACTCAACAGCATACAAGGCCAACACATAGGACGCCACAGCCTTTCGACTTAGAGCATCAGCAACATCATTATGTTTCCCCGGCCGATGGACCCAATCGAAATCAAACTCCCCCAAGAATTCTTGCCACCGTGCCTGTTTTGGGGACAACATCTTCTGAGTTTGAAAATAAGTATTGGCTACATTGTCCGTAACAACTGTGAACCTTATTCCCAACAGATAGTGATGCTACATTTCCAAGCAATGAATTACTGCCGTCATTTCCTTCTCATGGGTACTGTATCGGGTCTCAGCATCCTTCAATTTCTGACTCTCAAAAGCAATAGGATGTTTGTCCTGGACCAACACCCCACCAATAGCACGATCTGAAGCATCGACTTGTACCTCAAATGGCTAGTCGAACTTTGCCAACTTCAATATCGGCTCTTTGGTCACAGCTTGTTTCAGCAAATCAAAGGCAACTTGTTGAGCTTTGTCCCACTCCCAACACCTGTCCTTCTTCAGTAAATCCGTCAACGGGCTAACTACCTTGGAATACCCTTTAATGAATCTTCGATAGTAGTTTGCCAGCCCTAAAAAGGAGCGCAACTCGGTCACTTTGGATGGTTCGGGCCAATCAGCAACAACCCGCACCTTCTTAGGGTCCATGCGAATACTTCCTTGGCTGATGATGTGACCAAGGAATGTGATTTCCTCCCGACAGAATTCGCATTTCTCCTTCTTAGCATACAACTTATTTTCCCTCAATTTCTGAAGCACACATCGCAAGTGCTTGACATGCTCATCAACCGTCTCAGAATAGATCACGATGTCATCCAAATATACGACCACAAATTTATCCAAGTACTCGTACATCACATCATTCATCAAATTGCAAAACGTAGCAGGGGCATTGGTTAACCCGAAGGGCGTCACCAAAAATTCGAACGACCCGTAACTTGTCACACAAGTGGTCTTTGCTTCGTTGCCTGGAGCAATTAGCACTTGCCAATACCTAGAACGCAAATCAATTTTCGTGTACCACCTTGCTTGAGCCAACTTATCAAACAAATCCAAGGCATTTGGAATTGGATACTTGTTCTTAATGGTAAATTTGTTCAACGCCCGATAGTCCACACACATCCGCATCGATCCATCTTGTTTCCTTTGGAACAATACTGGAGAACCGTAAGGTGCCTTTGAAGGCTGAATCAATCCCGCACTCAGTAGTTCATTCAACTGCTTCCTCAATTCGGCCAGCTCGACTGGTGGCATCCGATAAGGAGGTTGTGCAGGAGGCTGAGCGCCCGGTTCCAGTTCAATCCGATGGTCACAAGGTCTACGCGGAGGCAACTCCTTAGGCAACTCAGGGGGCATCGTATCCTTGAATTCATCAAGCACTTTACCGACAGTATCCGGTACCTCATAAAATACGTCTGGTTTGGTCTCAATCAAAGCCGCAACGTACGTTGTGTGACCATGCCTTAGTCCATCACGAAGTTGCAAGGCCGACACCATGCTAGTATCTTTCTTTGGGACAACAAACTTGACAGCGAGAGCCTGCTCTCTCCCATCATCAACCACGAACAACTTTCCTTCGTGAGGTTTTGGATAGACTTTTGCCTTCTTCATGAAGTCTATTCCAAGAATCATCGCAAAATCGTCAAGAGGGACGATGTGCAATGCACACAATCCTTTCCAAGGCCCAACTTGCATTTCAACTTGTGCCACCCCCTTGATCGGTTCACCTTGAGCATTCACCGTTTTCATCTTTCCCTCGTGAGGCTCAACAGTAAGGCACAGCTTCCGAGCATGCTCCTCATTTACAAAGCTGTGGGTAGCACCACAATCCACCAAGGCCATAATATCTTTGTTCCCTATGGCCACCTTAGTGTACATCAAGCCATCACATGCAACAGGGACTTTTTGAACTTGGTTCAACAGCAGCATAGAGTTAAGGCCCATGGTACCTTCCTCAGCATCCTTGGAAGTGCCTTGCACCACCACAGCATTCGCTTTGGCATTTACACGTTTGGGACAATCCCGCATACGGTGGTCACCATCACACAAAAAGCACCCACGGTTTGAACGGTCCACAACCAGAGATTGGTTCTTAGACTCTCGGGACTTCTCCTTCTTTTCCCCCGCCTTCTTCTTGTGTTTGCCACCATCTTTATCTTTATGCTTTTTGAATTTCCCACCTTTCTCCTTGGTCGAGTCCTTTTTCTTATGGCCCGACTCAGGTCCGCCAACGACTTTAAAATCGACAAGTCGTTCTGCCGCAGCAATAGCTGAAGGAAGGTCGCTCACACCTTGCCTTCTCAACTCCGCTTGGGCCCAGCCTTGAAGACCGGCCATGAAGTTGAACAGTTTATCCTTCTCTGACATTTCAGAGATATCAAGCATGACAGAAGTAAATTCCGTCACATAATCACGTACGGCACCCGTATGCCGTAAGTTACGCAGCGTGTTACGGGCAATCCAATCTGTGTTCCCCGGGAGAAACTGATCTTTCAATAGACCTTTCAATGTGTCCCACGTAGTGATCTCCTCGCGATTTGCACTGGCATCATCAGACACCCGCGCCCGCCACCAAAGTTTCGCATCCCCGGCCAAAAACATGCTCGCTATTGAAACTTTCTGACCATCTGGGACTCCAGCAGCCTGGAAATATACTTCCATATCCCAAAGGAAATTCTCAACTTCTTTTGCATCACGAGAACCGTCAAAGGCTTTAGGATCAGGAACCCGGACTTTTGGTGGACCCTGTCGTTGTTCATTTAGAACATTCGCACCAACACGTTTCAGCAGTGATATATAATCTTGTACCTTGCCTATCTTATCGCTCACCGCATCAGACAGCAAACTAACTTCATCGTTAACAGAGTCAATCCTTCCTTCAACAAATTCAGGTAAAGAGTCTACCGAATTTTTCAGTGCTAGCACCGTCACCCGCAGATCTTCAAGAATATCGTTTGTTGTTCGTAATTTCTCGAAGACAGTTGCTTGCAACAGTGTCTGAGGCGGTGGCCCCAGCAGGTCCTCCAATCTTTGTATCCGTGCCCCATAGGACAATAACACTTGTTCTTCCCGTCGATTATGATCACCCATCGTTCCCCGACTTG